CACTGTGGCAACAAGAAACTTGTTCTGAGTTACAAGCAGACAATGTCTGTGTTCAGAAAATTGCATATTGGCTTAATAACCAATATAAAGAAGCATATGAAGTCCCTTCCCAGTTTGTGCAAGCTGTGATTTAATCAGGAGCCTCTATTTAATCTTAATTTCCTGCCTTAGCTGAACTGGGAAACTATGCTTGCCAGCTTCTGAACAGGCTCAAGATTCTAAACTGAATTTTAAAATGGTTTTAACATCCTGGGCTTGTTCCAAGGTGGCAAACCTAGCTTCATCACTTTGGATGAAATATGCTCAATTAGAAATGTATGCACTGAGGCCAAATTGCCAAAAAGGAAGGAGCAAAGGAGTTCTCTGCATGGACAAAACATCAATCATAAATTGGGTTATTAGGTTTGAGCATTCATATTTGACCCAATGACCTCTATAGTGTTAAGGCTAACTAGTTTTTTACTGATGCAGTTATTAGCCCAGGGTTGTCGTTATGTGTGCGTTCATGCTTCAAGGTGCTGTAAATTATTTAATTAGGTCATCATGTGTTCTATATTTTATATATTCAGAAAGACTTTTCTAGGTTTGCAGCTCCAGCAAGATTACCTTCCACAAGAATTGAAGTGGGGAAATTCTGCTTTAATTTTGAGAGAAATACGATTGTGTTTTCATTACGTTATGAGAAATATTTGGGCATTCATAGCTAAACTGGGTGGTATTAACTGGATGTTAAAAATTTCTTGGATTGAGAGGGTAATAAACAAAGAAGATACAAAGTTTCTGAGTAAAGACCAAGAAATCACAAAACACATAATGTGCAGAAAGCTAAAATACTTGGATCACGTAATAAGAAACCAGAAGATTGTACAGCTGAACATTTGAGGCAAAATGAATAGGAAACAAAATACAGGAGACGACTATATTGGCCAAAATCCTATTGGATAGTGTAACATAATTTGTAACATTCAGTTGGTTCCTACCAAGCAAACAAAGTGTCATTGCTGTGATTCTGTTGATTTTTTATGCTATGCAACAGGATTTATCAGCCTTTGGCTGGGAGACTGATTTGGATGCAGTGCAACATTGTTGTATAGAAAGGTCACAGCTAGCCAGTCAGTATAGCCATGATAACATCTAGTCTCCAGTAGCAGAAGAACAATAACAAATACAGTGGTGCCTCGCAAGACGATTTTAATTCGTTCTGCGAAAATCGTCATCTTGTGAAAAAATCATCTTGCAAGGTTCCCTATGCATAGGTCTATAAAAAAAGTCTTGCGAAGCATCAGTCTCAAAAAAAAGTCTTGCGAAGCACGGTCATAGAAAAAAAATCTTGCGAGGCACCATAGTGATCGCAAAAACCAATCATCTTGCGGGTTTTTCATCCCACGAGGCAATCGTCTAGCGAGGCACCACTATAAAAGGATAATACAAGATCTTTGGCACAGTTGGACATGGTCCCACCTTTCACTTTGGTTTTTTACACTTTTCCCTTGGGTCATGTGAACTTCCATCTGGCCAAGTGCAAAGTCCTGCACCTGGGGGATAAAAAAAAAACAGTTACAAGATGGGGAATACTTGGCTCAGTAATACTATGGCTGAAAAAACAGCAAATGCTATTTTAAGGAGCATTAACAAAAATATAGTCTCCAAATTTTGTGAAGTTCTAGTTCCCCTCTAATTAGCACTGATTAGCCCTGGACACCAGGCTTTAAGAAGGATGCTGATAAACTAGAACAAGTTCAGAGAAAGAGAACAAGGATAATCAGGGGACTGGAAACCGAGCCCTATGAGGAAAGACTGAAAGAACTGAGAAAAGAAGACTGAGGGGAGACATGATATCACTTTTCAAATACTTGAAAGATAGTCATACAGAGGAGGGGCAGGATCTGTTCTTGATCATCCCAGAGTGCAGGAATGTAATAATGGGCTCAAGCTATGTGAAGCCAGATTTAGGCTGGACATCTGGAAAATTTTCCTGACTCTTTGAGCAGTATGACAATGGAACCAATTACAGTGATGCCTCGCTAGACAATGATAATAAGTTCCACTGAAATCGCTGCTTAGCAAAATCATCGCCTAGCGAAAAGCATTTCCCCAATGGAATGCATTGAAACCTGTTTAATGCGTTCCAATGGGGAAGAATCGTCGTTGTCTAGCGAAGATCGGCCATAGGAAAGCCGCTTTGCGAACCGCCGATCCACTGTTTAAATTGCTGTCTTGTGAAGCTTAGGTCCCGAAAACACCCATTTTGCGAGCACGGAGGGAGCTGTCAAAATCGTCTAGCAAAAATTGGTTTGTGAAGCAGGGACCAAACATTGTCCAGTGAAATTCCCCCATAGGAATCACTGTTTTGCGAATTGCTATAGCGATCGCAAAAAGTCAATGTCATGCGGGGTAACTGTCTAGTGAGGCACCACTGTACTTTGGGAGGTGGTGAGAGCACCAATACTGGAGGCATTCAAGAGAAAATCAAACAGCCATCTTTCAGATATATTTTGATTTTGATTCCTGCATTGAGTAGGCATTTGGACTCAATGGCCTTACAGGCCCCTCTGTGATTTAGCTACTACTTCATGAATTTTGCTGCCCATTGTGTGATTTTAGTGTCATTTAGGTAAGGTTTGCTCAAAGGAAATCCTAGAGAAGACAGAGACAGCTGTGAATAACAAGAGATATTTCCCCTTCCTAAGGCAGCTCTTAATGATACTAAACTGTTTCTAACAGAAGGCTGAGACAAGAGAGTTTGTGTATTTGAAAGGCAGCATCTGCATACATAGCGAGAAGTGTATCTAAAGCTGTGTGAATTTAGCTGTCACTGCCTGGAGATGTATTGTGCACTCAATTCATCTCAGCTGACACCTCAGTAATATTCTGTTTTATTTTATCTTTCACCTTCAATCAGATTTCTGAAAGACAAAATGCCTTTACTAAAATGTTGTGGAATGACTTTGCGAGGACACCCCATAGGTGTGTGTTTTATTTTTCTGCCTAAGTAGGAAGTTATCTTACAAGTTGCCTATGACACCTTAGCTGCTTTAATCTTTTCCCTGTATTGCCATCTGGTGGCCAGGTGAGAAAAGGACATTCACTCACCCTGCAGTACTTCTTCCTGAGATTGTCTGTTCTGCCATTGGATTCCTATTTCTAGCAGCAAGCCCCTGGCTTTCAGCTTCCCACTTCTGTTCCAGAACAGTATCCTACATATTATGGCTGTTTCTACTGCTAAGGCCTTAGCATAGGGAGCAAGACAGCAAGATATGTACCATGGCAATTCCACATTCAGTTGGAATGTGGTTACAACTACAAGTTCTTTATTTACAACAACATGAAGGTAAGGTAAAGGTAGAGGTTCCCCTTGACATTTAGTCCAGTCATGTCCAACTCTAGGGCACGTGCTCGTCCCCGTTTACAAGCCATAGAACCAGCATTTGTCTGTACACAGTTTCCGTGGTCATGTGGCCAGCGCGACTAGGCATGGAATGCCGTTACCTTCCCACCGTGGTGGTAGCTATTTACTCACATTTTACATGCTTTCGAACTGCTAGGTTGGCAGGACATGAAATTCAACAACATGAAATTGTATGCAATTCCAACCCATCTTGCAGTCCTGCATGTGCCCTAAAACTTATTCTGGAGAACTGCAGGAAAGAAGGAAAGAAAATCTCAGTACTACTGCAGGCATGGCATTGGTTCTATTGTTTCTTTCAACATGTAGGCTGGATTTGTGTTGCATAACTTAACACCCACAGAAGTGTGATGGCTAATAATATTTTTAGGAAATAAAACACATCCTGTTTCTACCCTGCAGCTTTTCTGACTTCCATATAATTCCTTTCATTGTGTGATTTGCTTAGTGAGAGCTCTGGAACAGAAAGGGGGTGACTTTAATTAACAAAAATTCCCATTCCCAGCAGATGGCATCAGCAGGGGAGATTTTTGGTAATTAAAGAGTTCATCCCTCCATGCTCTAGCTTTTAGACAACAAAAGGGAGCTATAAAAGCTGCAGGACAGAAGTGGGAAGTTTTTAGTGAACTGCAAAATGCCCCCTTGCCACTGATGTCTTAGTCTTTTTATTGATGATTTTAATTTGATTGTCTTTTTGGACTGTAAACCACCCAGAGTAGATTCGTCTAGATGGGCAGTATAAAAGCCAAATAAATAAATTAAATTAAATTAATGATGTTGTCACCTTTCCAAGGGGGAAATTAAATAGCAGGATTTCAGCTATAGTTTTAGGTAATTAAATTAATGATGTTGTCACCTTTCCACAGGGGGAAATTAAACAGCAGGATTTCAGCCATAGTTTTAGGTACTACAGTGGTGCCTCGCATGACGATGACAATCCATCCCCTAGAAATAGCTGTTTAGCGAAATCATCGTCATGTGAAAACCATTTCCCCATTGGAATGTTTGAAACTCATTTAATGTGTTCCAATGGGGAAAATATCTCGTTTTGCGAAGATCCCCCATAGGGCAGCCATTTTGCGAAGCACCGATCAGCTGTTAAAATGGCTGTCCTGCGAAGCATGGGCCCCGAAAACACAGGGCAGCCATTTTGCGAAGCCGCCGATCAGCTGTAGAAATAGTTGTCTTACGAACAGTCTGCGAAGCACGGACCAAATCATCATCAAGCGAAAATAGCCGATTGGAATGACTGTTTTGCGAATCACTATAGTGATTGCAGAAAGTCATCGTTATGCAGATTCGTCGTTTAGCGGGGTCATCGTCTAGTGAGGTACCACTGTAATCTAAATAAGAGTTTTTGGTTAGTATGGTTCCCATCATAGCTGTCACGTTATATATGACCTGGGTTCCAGTCCACACTTGTCCATGAAAACTTGCTGGTGAGTGACAATAGTAAAACCATCACGTCTCATATACTTTGAAAATCCTATTAGGGTCATCATAAGTTGGATGCAACTTGATAGCACATAACACATGCAAACTGTCTTTAGCATTTATCTGTTAATATTAATTAAATATCCATCTTTTATTATAGAGTAATTATTTAGTGTTCATGGCAGAACTCTTCTGGTGGTTTGAAGTGGTAAAGCCTTCATTTGTCCAGCCTCGAGTTGTGGTTCATCCTCAAGGTAATTTTTTTGTTCCATGTTGTGACAAACAATACAGCATGGGCTCCATGAATGTGACCGAAAGAATCTTAACTCACTGTAATCCATTGATCAGCCACTGTTGTTGTGTGTGTTTTTTTTTAATGGACCGCTTTTGAACTGCTGAAAATATGCAGGCTGAACTTATTGGGATATAGGTGGATGACTTCTTAATCCCCACTTCCACAGTGTGAATATCAACATGAGCTTTGGCATTTTTGTGAAAGGACCATGCTTTGTGGTAAAGTACATACATGGATCAGAAGGTGCCTGACTGAGGCCCAGATAGCTATGGGATGGATGGATGGATGGATGGATGGATGGATGGATGGATGGATGGATGGGGTAGTAGGCCATGTGAAAGACCTCTGCTTAAGTGTTTGGAGATCTGCTGTGAGTCAGTACTAGGCTAGAAGAACAAACAGTCTGACCTATTAGATGTAAGCCTATTGTGGCTCATGCAGGTAATGTGAACTTGAAATGTAGATCTTCACTTGTCTCATCCTTGTAGGCAAGGACAAAACATTACAACATTCTTCTCTCCGCCATCACTATGAATAGTATCCAAGATGGCTAAGGAGGAGCCCTGTGGTGCAGTGGTTAAATTGCAGTACTGCAGTGAAAACTTGGCTCATGGACTGAGTTTGATCCCAGTCTCAGGTAGCTGGCTCAAGGCTGACTCAGCCTTCCAGCCTTCTGAAGTCAGTCAACTGTGTACCCAGCTTGCGAGGGGCGGGGGAACATGTAGCTTGCAGAGGAGCCCTGTGGTGCAGTGGTTAAACTGCAGTACTGCAGTGAAAACTCGGCTCATGAACTGAGTTTGGTCCCAGTCTCAGGTAGCTGGCTCAAGGCTGACTCAGCCTTCCAGCCTTCTGAAGTCAGTCAACCGAGATTTATAAACTGCCCAGAGAATGCTTTAAGCATGATGGGGTGGTATGTAAGCAGAATATTTTGAGTTTTCTTTAACATGATTCAGAGAACCCCTCCCAAATGCAGCAATGATCAAGTAATTAAAACAACCAAACATTGAAACACAGGAATAACAAGGCAGGACAATTAAACATTCCATAGCTAATGTAAATTGCCAACAACAGCAAAAAGCTTTCCTGAATAAAATGATCTTTATTTGACAGCAAAAATAAAAAATAAGCAGGGTCAAAGGAATCTCCTGCAGGGAGAGATACACAACTGAGCTCTAGCAAGATCATAGGTTCTCTCCTATGTCCCGACTAACCTTGAATCCTCCCATGTTGGAAACCAGGACACCTCATTGTCAGATCTCGAAATATGGACAGGATGGTATGGGAAGAGGGTAGCAGCTTATTTACAGTATTTATGTATCTGGTAGGGGCTTTAAAAGTAATCATGAGAGAAATAGTTACAGCTGTATATGTAATGACCAGCACTTGGAATTGTACCTGGAAGTGAATTGGTAACCATTGCAGATATTTTAAAAGGAGTGCAGTTATAATTACATAGACCTGTTTTTTGAGTACAGTGGCTGCTGCATTCTGGAGCATCCAAACCTTTGCTGGTGTCTTGACTTTTATATTGACAGGCATCATAAATACTTTGATTGTCTTTTTTTTACCCCTAGCTGAAACTCCAAAAGAACCATCCTCTATTCTTTCTGCAAATGCCAGTAGAAGAAACTATCCAGATGTTTCACCAAGTTCTGACCTGACACCTAGGTAATCATCTGTTTTTATGCATACTTGTAATGCAAGTCATAACTGAGCAGAATAATTTCATATCTTCTCACTTTGGCTATCTTTTTTTTCTTTTCTTTTCTTTTTTTGGCTTATTTTGTTTTTAAACTGGTTAGAATTATCAATGTCAATTTTTTTACTTATTTAAGCCAGTTTCTCTTTCATTGGCTGATGCTTATGGATGTTTTTGTTTTATTGTATGTTTTTATACATTCCCCTGGCTTTGTAAGATAAGAGATAGTAGATATTTTTTTAAAATAAACAACTATAACTTTTAAAAATTTCTTTTCCCCTTTCTGAAAGGGACTCAGATTACCACAGAAAGGAAGTGTGTTGCATACTGCACCTCCATTTTCTCATGCAAGGGAGAACTTAAAAAGTGTCTGAAAGTGGGCTTCTTTTACCTAAAATGCTAATATTCTGTCCCCTACGCATTAAATGGGGCAGGGGGAGAGTATTAAGTTAATATACTAACATAATGATATGTCTGTTTACAGGCTAAACAATGTACAATGTTAAAATAAAACCAATATTTCATAAAAAAGAATAAATATTGTGAAACATATTAAAGCTCCAAGTATATTAAGCCATGTTAGAGTGATATGAAAAGCACAGTTTGAAAGGATTAATAAAGGAGACATACTGTATTGTGCGGTTTCATACATTAGAATTAGTGTTAATTTAACTTGTGAATTAAATAATTTATTTTGAAATAAACAGGAGACATTTATGAAAAACAGCATTTGGGTTCTCACCACTTTTTAAATTGGATCCTTCAGAAGTGGTCTTTTTGTTGGTTTAAAGTGGCCTTCCCTGATTTGGCATGTTTTCACAGGTAGACGGCAAATCCTGTAATTCTGATAATTTGGCTGGGGATGGTGGCAGCTAATGTGTCTCCAGACTGTCAAACTGAGGAAGGCTGTCTGTCCTCAAACAGATTGTCAGAGATCTGCATTTCCCCGCCCCTTTCTTTCCACTCACACCTTGCTGCATCTTTTTATGTTCCATAATCAGTCTCTCTATATATCTCTAGATAGATGTAAACTGATCTCGAAGTGGGACCCTGTATTTGAAAGGATAAATAAGGGGAATAATTTTATTCTTACTAATAAGAAGAGAGGAAGGGTTTATGCAAAGTGTTCATAATTGTACTGTAAACAGCTCAGAGAGTGCTCTAGCACTATTGGGGCAGTATCTAAATCAAAACAACAACAGCAACAATAACAATTTAAAGACCCAAATCATCCTGCTTAGTTACACTGGTGGAAAAGGAATAACTCACGGTGTCAGATTGCCATTAATTAACAAGTCCCACTTGGGTTTCTCATTGTGTGCTTGTTTGGTAGCTTGAAGCACACTTAGGATTCCAGATGGGAACTCCTTAATTAGCAATAGTTTGCCACTGCGAGAAACACTATTTCCCTTCCACTAGTATTCATTACTACAAAGATACTGGTCATTATGTTATAAAAGTAATGTTGCACGTTGAGATTGTTCAGGTAACAAATAAGCACAGAATGGAAATAAAAATGACATTTCTTTCCCTTAAAAAGTAGTATTCTAAACTCACGAACAAATCTTTAACCCCAAAAAAAAAAATCCCAGAAGTTCTATAGCTGTTTACACTGAAGAAACCACATGATGGCAAAAATAAGAGTACTGTATCTTTCTCACCACACTTGTTTATGTTTTTTTTTCCTGACCTCTGTCCATTTCTTCGGAGTGCAAAGGATACATTAGAGATCTAGAAATTTCTCTGATAGAATTAAGAGTCAGCATTTTAAGAGGGAACGGCGCTCTGTCTTTTTAGACTGGACTAAAATGAGTAAACGTCCAATATTCTTTCTGTTTGAAATTGGAAGAATTAGAATTTCAAATCACCTCTAACAGTGCAAGGGAAATTGCCCAGCTGGTGGTTTCTTAAGCAGAAGGCATTGTGATGATTAATAATACTTAATGGAATAATTAATAATTAATGATGCTCAAAGATGATTAATTAAAAAAACCCCTTTTTACTTTGAAAGTGCTAAATAAGATTAAAACATTAATTTGCTGCCGTGTATAATGCCCATCAAAAATAAGCAAATTAAATTTTAGTGAATTAAAATAAATAATTTCCAAGCTTGGAAACTGAGAGAGTGGAACCTCAGCCTTATTTCTGAACATGGCAACTTTTATTTATTAATAGCAGAGAAACAGAAATAATAATACATTTCTTCTAATTTTTCTTTAACCTGGCCGATCACACAGCATCTGATTCATCAAATTCTTGCAACGTATTTGTGACAGATCAAAACAGGCATTATGGCCTGTGAGAGCATACATCGTACATGTGTGCTTGTTTTCCAGGCAACATGAGAATGTCTGTCTTGTCTACAGAGACAGACTCACATGAGTACCCATATGGAGGTTGCCTCTTTCTGATCCACTCATCCGTTCATCCCTGATCAATGTCTAAGCAAGCTCCAGACACTCTAGGTACTCAGATGGAAAACCAAGGAACATGGAAAGATAGGAAGGCACAACTCAGGTTTTCATAGCCTGCCCAAGATGCAACATTTGGATCTAGATGCAAAATAGTAGGTCAGACACAGGCACTAATTACTTATGGAGCCCATGTGCCTGGGACAGCTATGGCTTATGGTATTCCACAGGTAATTAGCTCTTCTGCCTGACCTGCTGTTTTACTTCAGTTTTATATACACAGGTACAAATCTACAAATCTAGGGACGTGGTGGCGCTGCAGGTTAAACCGCAGAAGCCTCTGTGCTGCAAGGTTGGAAGACCAGCAGTCGTAAGATCGAATCCACGCGACAGAGTGAGCTCCCATTACTTGTCCCAGCTCCTGCCAACCTAGCAGTTCAAAAGCATGCAAACGCAAGTAGATAAATAGGTACCACCACGGTGGGAAGGTAACAGCATTATGTGTCTAGTCACGCTGGCCACGTGACCATGGAAACTGTCTATGGACAAACGCTGGCTCTATGGCTTAGAAACGGGGATCAGTACCACCCCCTAGAGTCAGACACAACTGGACTAAATGTCAAGGGAAATTTTACCTTTACCTTACAAATCTACACATTGGATCATGGATTCTGAGTGTCCAATTTAGGCTTAATACTTGTAAATATTAAACAGTTTGAAGTTAGAAATTCTTGCAGTAGTATGGCAAATCACCAGAAATCTACTGACGACCTAGTAAGAAAACCACTATAATGAATGTTGTTTTTTATTTTTTTTATAATCCCCAGTATAAAGTCATTAATATTCCAAATTACAATGAAAGGATTGTTGCTCCCTTAGAAACAATGTTCATAACAGTTCTTTGTTCTTTTTCACTTTGGCCCTCAGGCAGCACATAGATTTGCTTGTGGAATTAATAAAGCCTCGTAGAGTTCAATGTCTCGTTAAGTATATGACATTCTATTCAGTAGGAAGTCAATTAGCCTTTATAGACTTCTGGTTAGTGGTACTTATACGTTTGTCTGGAATACAAGGGGGAATGCAAAGCTTACCATGTCTATATGGGGGTATTCTGTCAGCAGATTCCCACTGTATGAAAAAGCTAACTGCTGTTCTAAAAATTAGAAGGAAGACTTTGTTGCCCCTTATGAGTTGTTCTCCCCGTGTGAACTGTACACACAGTTGAGAGCACAGCTAGCCCTTTACATGTTTGCAAGTTTGCAGCTGAGAATCAAGTGTTTTAGAAAATTTGTTAAATAGAATATATAAGTACCATTATGTAATGAACAGTCTTGCTTAATCTAGGAAAGGTTTAAAATATCACAGTATAAATATGTAGATGATATTTTAAGCAAGTGTGATACTATAATACAGCTGATGGCTTTCTGCCCGGGCAGACAATGTATTGGAAAATTGCATTCAATTCACTGACTGAATGAAAGGGATAAATATAAATTGTAATGCCAATACAGACATTACTGGATGTTTTCTGACACAAGGTAAAGTTTCAATTAAAATCCTAATTTGGAAACTTTGAAAAATAATTGCAACTACACTGATTCATCAGTCAGTGCTTTGTGGACTAATTGCAATATTGACTGAAATCCTGTTGCCTAGTGTAATAAGTCACACTATAGAAGGCCCAATGAATCAGTAGGGATTTGGTGGGTTAATTGCTCCATAAATTCCATTGATTCAAATAGCCTTAGTGTACTTCAGCATAATAAATTGCATGTAGAGTAGGGCTATTTGGATCAGAGGAACTTACGGAGGAGTTGACTCACCAAATCTCCACTGATTCTTTGCGCTTTCCGTAGTGCAGACTATGTTAAGCAGCAGGATTTCAGCCTTTGTTTCTTAGCTTATTCATGTCTGGAAAAAATTAATCTAATAAAGTAAAATTTACAAAGTTTCATTTTTAATTTTTCAGTGTAGAAAGTCCAGCTTTTCCACCATCGCATCAGATTTCTCCTGCTAGTCGCACTCCCCAACAGCCTTATTCATTTGCTCCAGGTAATAGGACAACACTGAAAAATTAGGCTTCCAGCATGTTGTTTTGCCTTAGAATTCCAGATTATATTCGTACAATGCAATGTGTTGATTAGAGTTACTAGATTTTGCCTGGTTTGTCTCTTTCTGATCCACTTATCAGATGGTACTAATATACTTTTTATTATTCATGTCATCTAAAATATCGATGCCTTTTCCCTCCACTACTACCATACATGCCTCTGGCTCTCAGAACAACACAGTGGGACTCCTATGATACATTATGATGAAGGCTATAACTGAATTCAGATCACTCAGTTACCTTGAAGGCTGAACAAGAATTTGACCCTCATTCTCATGATCTAAATTGGACAGTGGCATGAAAAAGTCTGAGTTTGGGCACATCTTTTGGACTGCAGCTCCCAGAAGCCCCCACCTAGGGAAGTTTTGGAGTTGTAGTCCAAAAAAGTAACTTTAAAAAAAAGCTGTTGAAAATATCAGCTACAATATGGGGAAACATATGTCACTTTTTGAGTTAAATGGGTGTACATTTTTGTAATCTGATGTATGGACAAGCAATGTACAAACTTCTGTCCAGTGACAGAAGCAAGATAAACTGCTACTTGTTTTCTCTTACCCTAGATTTCTAGCTGTGGGTCATTCTTATTAATGATAAAACATTTTTAAATAGTGGAAGATTATCTGCAAACATGTAACTCCCATAAAATACAGCTGATAGAATGGTTGTGTTGTGAGTTTCATTTATTCTAATGGGACATTAATTCAGCTTAGTCAAGATTTTGCTTTGCTAATGACCTGGGGTTCAATCCCAGGTAGCCGGCTCAAGCTTGACTCAGCCTTCTATCCTTCCGAGGTTGGTAAAATGAGTACCCAGCTTGCTGGGGGGGGGGCAATGTGTAGCCTGCATAATTAACTTGTAAACCACCCAGAGAGTGCTTGAAGCACTATGGGGCAGTATATAAGCAGCACACTTTGCTTTTGCTTTTTAACATGGTCAAATATGTACCTTTTAATTACCGTATTTTTCTGTGTCCTGGGGAGCGCTGTTTTACAGTATTTGCTCCATAAGACACAGACACTTTCCCCCCACTTTTTTTGGGGTGGCAAATGTGTCTTATAGAGCAAAAAATACGGTAAGCCCCACTTAGATTTCTTAATTTGGGTTAGAAAAGTGGGGGTGTCTTATACATGGAAAGATATGGTACTTTTCTGCACACCGTATTTTTCTGTGTCCTGGGGAGCGCTGTTTTACAGTATTTGCTCCATAAGACACAGACACTTTCCCCCCACTTTTTTTGGGGTGGCAAATGTGTCTTATAGAGCAAAAAATACGGTAAGCCCCACTTAGATTTCTTAATTTGGGTTAGAAAAGTGGGGGTGTCTTATACATGGAAAAATATGGTACTTTTCTGCAGAGTGTCATTTGAGATGTTATTAGCTTATTTAGCCTGTTCTAATTCACATCAACAATAGAACTGTGTTTCACATTGAGTCACAGAATTTGAATTAACTACCTTAGATTCAAATGTGTGTTTTTTTTAAAATAAAAAAAACAATTCCAGAATAATTTGTCTCTTACATTGCACTGTGTGTCAATTTCCAGCAGGCAGCATTAGAAGATCTACATCTATGTCTTATATGGATGGATATGTAGGAACATGGCCCAAAGAAAAAAGGTAAGTCCTTTATTATTTAGCACCATATTCCATCAGTGCAGTGATGTATCACTTATAATGCTATATTTGATGCAAGAGGAGTGAATATCCTGCAGTTCAGATGCATGCTGATTAAACAGGAAACCCTGGCATCTGAGCATTCAGCCTGGAGGCATGCGGTGCATCACGGCCTCTCCCAATTTGAAGAGACCCTTGTCCAGCAGGCCGAGGCAAAGAGGCAGTCACGCAAGCAGTAAAATCAGGGAGCTAGACAGGGTACAGATTGGATTTGTCTTCAGTGTGGAAGGGATTGTCACTCTCGAATTGGCCTTCTCAGCCACACTAGACGCTGTTCCAAGTCCTCCATACAGAGCATGTTACCATAGTCTCTCGAGACTGAAGGATGCCTAACCTAACACAGGAAGAAGCAGGTTGTGGATTTTGAAGCTCACATCACTTTTTACCAGATGTAATGTATCTTGTTGTTTGTTTTTGTTTTGTTTTTATTTTTTGCTTGTAAGACATCTGGAATAATGAACAAACAAGTCAAAATAGTTGGATGAAATATTTACACACATTAGGTTGTCAGTTATGTTTGGGGCATTTGTCTAAATTATGTAGAGTCACTTTCCACAAATGCATCTAGAAGCAGGGGAACTTATCCTTAAGCATAGTGGAAAAGAATGGAAGCATTTGCCTGTTCAAGGTGAGAACAGTAGGCAGTGCTGCTGACTAGGATCAGCCATGTGATCAGCTTAAGCAGGGCCTTCATTCTCTTTGCCTTGATGGTTTGACCTCAAAGAGATCAGCTGGTAGTATCTGGATTGGCTGTGTAGTGCTCATTTTCCTTACATGATCTCTACTTGATCCCTGAATGGCTGGGATCATAGCTGAAGCAGAAAGAATTCCTTGACAAAAAGGTTATCAAAGCAGCTGCAAATGTAGAAACAATGGCCAGACTCTTACTGCCAATTTACGCCTGTGCCAGGGAACTCATATAAGTCTCTGTGGCAAATTGCTCACCATCAGTATGCATGTTGCATTAATAGCTGCTTGTCAGGCACATGTTTAGGAACATAACCAGCACCTCATTAATGAGCAGCAGTCTGCCATCAATGCCTACGTGATTTCCATTACAGAAGCATAAATCATCGTTGAGACTCTGGTCAATGCTCTAAAAGAAAAGTTGAAAAGAAGTAAGGATAGGGCTTGGCTTGGTTTTGTTTGAAATGTCCCAAAACCTTAAATTGGCAAATGTTTGTTGTGGGCTTAATCTCTACTAAATGACCAGCTGACTAGGTAATGCTAATAGAATACGAATGCAATATTATTATTTTAATTTTCATAATATTACATTTTCAGCACTTTATTGTTAGTTTGCAGCTTACAGTTATGATGTAAAAGAGAATGTGTTACTGTTCAATGCTAAAGATGTTGGTATATTTCTGACATTTTAGTATGAAAAGGGAACAATAATATTAAATAATAGATGGAATAATATAAATACTAACACTTCAGTACTAAAACCAAAGTTTTCCAACATTTTAATATTAAGAGAGGTTTGTTTTAAACGCTTTCTTTATTTTTCTGTTCCTTTTTAGATCTTCAGTGCATGGAGTTTCATTTGACATTTCCTTTGATAAAGAAGACAGCATCCGCATGACGCCTTCCAACAGAGGAATGACCCGATCTCTCAGCAATGAAGGACTGGCACAAAATGCTAGCCGTTTGCCGAGACATGTTAAAAAGAGCATGGTCTTCAAACCTGTAAATGGTGAAGAGGAAAGCGAAGATATTGAAGAAGAAAAAGATGTTGAAATGTGCAGTGATTTAGAGGCCAATAGCAATCAAAGAAACGCAAACCAAATTAGCCCATACAACCTACCAAATGGAGCCCTGCAAAACAGATTGATTACTGATGAGTTTGGTAATCAGATTGAGGCCCCAAGCATTGAGCAGGCATTACAGATTATCCATGACAATGAGAAATCTTCCAGTGTTACTCAGCCAGAGCAATTTACAAATGGGTTTTTCCTACACAACAAGGAGATCAGTCTCCTGAACTCAAATAGAAATCCCAATCAGGGCAGTCCTGACATTATCGCAGATACAAAAAGTGCCCTCAGTCCTGTGACTGACAATACAGAAGTGGATACTGGAATCCATGTTCCTTCAGACATTCCAGAGACAATGGATGAGGATTCTACCTTGAGAGATTATACGGTGAGTCTGGACTCTGATATGGAAGAACCATCCAAATTTTTGCATGAATATGATAGCAGAGGTGTGAACCATAAGGAACAAGTAAGTCCTTGTCCAAGCTCAGTTAGTGCCAAATCACAAGCGGGCAGCAGTGCATCGTCGAGTTCAGGAGTTAAAATGACCAGCTTTGCAGAGCAGAAATTTAAGAAATTGAATACAGATAGCAGAAGTAGTGGAAGCAGTTCTCAGAAAACCACCCCTGAAGGCTCTGAGCTGAATATTCCTCACATTGTTTCTTGGGCTCAGATACCAGAGGAGTCCCCTCTCCCTCAGGGAAGAGACACAACCCATTTGCTGGCCTCTGAAATGGTGCAACTGAAAATGAAGCTGGAAGAGAAGAGGCGAGCAATTGAGGCCCAGAAGAAGAAGGTTGAGGCTGCTTTCACTAAGCAGAGACAAAAAATGGGAAGAACAGCGTTCCTCAATGTTGTCAAGAAGAAAAGTGAAGGAATTTCTCCCCTTAGAGAAGAGGCTGCCGGAGCAGAGGATGAGAAGGTGTTCACCGACAGCAATAGGCCAAAAGAAAAAGAAGCCCAGAAGCCAGGAGAACAGCTAAACAAAACGGTGGCAACGATAAAAGCAAGCACAGAAACACCACAGGCTAAGTGGCTGAAGTATCCAAGCACCCCAGTTGATCCTGAAAAGCAATGTAATTTGGTCAGCCCCTCTGAAGAAAACTTAAATGAAGGTGACCTTTTGGAATATACAAAATCTATTGAGAAGCTGAATGCATCTCTTAATTTCCTTCAGCAAGAAATGCAACGCCTCTCACTTCAACAAGAGATGCTAATGCAGATGAGGGAGCAGCAAGCTTGGGTTATCTCGCCACCTCAGCCTTCTCCCCAGAAGCAATTTCGGGAGTTCAAGCCTTCAATGAGGCCTGCAGGGTCAGCTTCTCCTGTCACCCCATTTTCAGTGGAGTCTCCTCGACCTTCCCACCAGTCCCCACAGTCGTCTTCTAGGAAGAATTCTTCTCTCCCCAGTAAAGTACAAAGGACTCCTAGGCCGAATGAACTGAAAATAACACCTTTGAATCGCACTTTGACTGCCCCACGGTCTGTGGATAGTCTTCCTCGTTTGAGAAGATTCTCTCCAAGCCAGGTATCCATTCAGACGAGATCATTTGTTTGCTTTGGTGATGATGGCGAACCTAACCTTTTGAAGGAGGCCAAGACTACGACAGAAGAGGTTACTGATAGAGAAGAAGTGGGTGAAAAGGAAGAAGTGAAAAAAGATGCAGTGGAGCAAAATTCAGAGGAGGAGCTGATCAGACCTGTGGAGTCTACAGTGTCTGAAGTACTGTCACAGCCCATTACTGAGACTGTCTGCCTTACTCCAAGTGAGGAGCCTCCGAAGCCACCAGCATTGCCAGTGCCTGCATCTAAATCTGGTAGTCTCATAGAAGTTTCCCTCACAGATTTAAAACCATCAGAAAAATCAGAGGATTCTCTTGAGAAATCAGAGGGCGAGAGTGACAAAGAACAGGTGGAGGATGACCAAAAATTGTGTTGTGGATTCTTTTTCAAGGTGAGTAAGTGCATCATAACATGTTTCTACAGCAATATTGTAGTTAAAACAGGAAAAAAAATCAAATTATATTATGCCAGAAAGCATAGTTGCTGTTAAACATATTTTATGACAATCTTCTGAGAGATTCGGGGCCTTTCAACAACTGACAAAATGTGTAAAAGGACACGTTTTTCAAATTCATGTGGACCTTTGTCCCTGAAGTGCTTAAGTTTCTAACTGCCCTGGATCAGATTACATTGGCTGAACTTCCATAGTAAGTTGCAGCTAGAATAGGTCCATTAAGTCATTAGGGATATGACGAGTCAACTCCTCTATAAGTTTCATTGATTCAGTGGACCTACTCTAATTGCAGCTTACTATGGGATTTCAGCCAATGTGTTGTACTGACCCTAAGAACTAGAATTTAGAATTGTACTGCACAATATATTCACAATCCCTGATCACCACATTTCCCTGGTATCTTTCTCTGTTGTCTCTTATCTTCATTTTGTATATATTCTTTGGAGTATGTATCATGTTAGCCATATACTAGTTATTTAATTTTCTCTGTATATGGAGTTGTTCTGTTCAATGCAATTTTTTGTCCCTAATAGCGGAGACCCATTGAATCAACGGGACTTACAATGATGGTGATTTAACAGGTCTCAGTTATTTTGTAGATGTACTCTAATTAGAAATACTCTAGCTAAGACTAAAACAGATTTAAGAAACTCTCCACAATACAATAATTTTAAAGTGGGTATAGTACAAGTATGTTCTGTCTATCGAGGAAACATAAAATTATAGAAAAGAAACTCATTGTACCATTCCATCTTTCAGTTGGGCAAGCTGGTATATCAGAACAATATCATTTAAATAACAACTTGTTCTTGTACCTTCTACTATATCCCAGTGCTGCTGCCACACCACTTCCTTTCTTTAACTTTAGGTCATCCTTCAAAATGTTTTGACCCCGATCGTTTTTTTTTCTTTTACTTCAATGACTACCCTGTGGATAAAATGGCTACCCTGGGGATAAAATCTGCCATGATATTATAATATCATTTAGTTTGTTCTTTCTTAAATATTGCAACTAGGATGATCAAAAGCCTGAAAATGATATGGCAGTGAAACGGGCAGCATTATTGGAGAAGCGACTGAGAAGGGAAAGAGAAACTTTGCTTCGAAAACAGCAACTGGAAGCAGAGTTGGAAACTAAAAAAGAAGAAACAAAGTAAGATCAAATGCACATGATAGTCATTCTGACTTAAATTTAGCTGACTTAAATTTATCCTGTCAAAATCTGAATAGCTAAACTTAGAATTGGTGTTTCTCATAAAACCATTTCCCCAATCTAAACCTCATGAACCAATTAAACTATTTTGTTTATCTGATGATCTGCTCATGGCAATATCCTGATCAGTTCTGGAAAACAAACTTCTTTTACATAGAGGTACAGGAAGAAATGTGACAGCTAACCAATGCACAGTAACTTTCAGAACTATCTGCAGTATAGTTTAAGAGACATTGTATTAATGCTGTTGTTAATCCCAACAAGGATAGACTCAGTAAATCAATGGCATTCATGTAGTTGTTGATGTACTTACAATCAGTGGGTTCTACTCTGATTGGAACTAATAGTTGAATTTAGCCCTTTACAGTTAAATTAAGATTTTACGTGAGTCTGCCCTAAGCCTTTAGACAGAGTTCTCGCATAATAGGAAGCCAGAGTTTCTCACTACAGGCACAAATTGCAGCTAGCCTTGGGCTCAGACATTCCCCACACCTTCTTCTTATGCCAAAGAGTGGAGAAGGAGACAAACTCAAGGAACTGTGATTTGCCTGAACTGCAGTAATCAAGGGTTTGAAGCCGCAGTTGGATCAATGATTATGATGACCTGATGTGATCAGTTTAGTCATTCTCTTTCCTTGTTAAAGTGGTAACAGCCTGTATTCAATGACTGATTCATTCATTCATTCATTCATATCTACTTATATATGTATTTGACTGCAAATCTTAATATTATAAATGTCTTATCTAACCAAATCATATTGGCCAAAAACGTATTTCTTATTCCCATCAGTATAAGTCAAATGGGATAAATCGCTATGGTAAATTGTCATTAGTTTAGAAGTCAGCACTCGCATTTTTCATCACATGCCAAACCACATAATTTATATTTGATGAGAAAATACAAGTCATGGCTTTTTAACTGGTTGGTTGCAATTCATTGCCATGATTAATGCTGTTTGAATTATGCTGCTGAGCATAACAATAGGATTCTGACCATTAAACATTTTTTAAAACCTTGGTGTGTTTTTTTAATGTTGCTAAGAAATCAGATTACCCATTTGATACTGACAAGAACACAGTGCTAATGAGATGGTTCTATTCCACCGTAATTTTTGATAACTTGTGCTAATCAAACATACTTTTTGGGTGTGAGCAAGGGATGATTTACCAACAATGATGTTGATATTCCAAGGAGGAAGTCTGAAGAAGAACGTCAGAAAAAGGAAGATGAAAGAGCGCGTCGTGAGTTCATTAAACAAGAATACATGAGACGGAAGCAGCTGAAACTCATGGAAGACATGGATATTGTCATAAAGCATCGCCCCCATTCATCCAAACATAAGAAGCCACGTCCCAAATCCATTCACAGAGATCACATTGAGTCACCCAAAACTCCAATCAAAGGTCCTCCAGGTAATAAATATAGGAGTAGAGTGGTGCTAAAACTCCAGGTTTGGTTTGCAGTACTATGTTGTTGAAATATGATAAACATCTAATTCTTAATCTAGGGACTTTAATTCAGGGAACCATCATGCAGTAAGTTTCGTGTTAAACCTGTCCCACCCCTCTAGCTGTTTGTTTTTACTTGTCCCTAGAAAAGTGGGAGGGGAGGGAGAGATCTAAATACTTTTCATATAGCTGCTATTTTTTTGTCATGCATTAACTACATTTAGAAAGATACAAGCAAGTGTCAGATTAAGTCAGCATAAAAGAAAGTCAGAGTTTAGAAAAATTACTTTTTAAAAATCAGCAACTTTCAGCAACCCCCCTGCCAGTATGACTAGCACTGGTCATTCTGGCTGGGATATTCCGGGAGTTGTGGTTCGAAAAATAATAATAATTTTGCCAAGCTTTGAACGGCACCCATATTAGAACATTTTCTCTGTTTTTACTAGGCGTTTACACCTATAATCGCTAAATCTGTTTTGATGCGTAGGTTTAGAACCACTAAAATCATGTTTGAATTTATATGCCTCAGAGGTTCACAAGAAGACAAAATACCAGTTCTAAATTATGCACCATATGTGTACAATTCAAAGAGACAGTAAAAGGAGGAAATATTTCTTAGAAATCTGGAGAGTGAGTGAGTTTGGTTGTTTGTATATCTAATGACCATTCTGTGGTCCTTACTGTCCTTTGCTTGAAATGTCTGCTAATTATCTTGGTTCACAACTTGACTGTGTTGTGTATGTTGTTTCCTCTGTAGTATCCAGCCTTTCACTGGCATCACTAAACACAGGAGATAATGAAAGTGTGCAGTCAGGAAAGAGAACTCCAAGGTAAATCCTCAGTTAATGGTTTCCTTTTGATAGAAATCATTGAGTTAAATCAGAAGAAATCACATTAATGTTGACTTAAGTCACATTGATTCAGTAGATTTCCTCTAGTTGTGCTCCATAATTGGATTCAACTTCTTGTCTTTTATATGCACAATAGTGTTCATTCAATGATGCAACAGTTTAATGTGTACTTTAAAATAATACATGAATTAAGTCTTGATAGTCAATGATGCTCATCTAACCATCGGATTGCAACGTGGCCAAAGGTTAATCCTGCGCATATTATTTCTCATCCAGTGGTGACTCACTCACAGTCCTCCCCCCTCCAGTATACAGCTTTGTCTATATTTACAGTGACATGATATCACAAGCTTTCATTCAGTGGTTTTATTCAGTGCTTTCCAGGGGCTAGCACAGGCCTTCTGGTTGTTTAAGATCTGAAAATAAAATAGGATTAGGTTGCACTCCTATACACAAGTAACCCAGTACACAGGATTGGATTTGCTTCTGAGCAAACATGTATATACAGTGGTACCTCGCTAGATGGCGACCTCGTAAAACAACGAATCTGCATGACGATGAGGTTTTGAGATCACTATAGCAAGTCGCAAAACACTCATTCCAATGGGGGATTTTCGCTAGATGATGATTTGGTCAGTGCTTTGCGGACCGTTTTTTCGCAAGACGACAATTTTTACAGCTGATCAGCGGCTTCGCAAAATGGCTTCCCTTTGTTTTTTGGACCCATGCTTTGCAGGACAGCCATTTTAACAGCTGATCAGCACTCGCAAAATGGCTTACCTATGGGCGATCTTTGCTGGACGATGACTATTTTCCCCATTGGAACGCATTAAACAGCTTTCAATGCATCCCAATGGGGAAACGGTTTCGCATGACGATGATTTCACTAAACAGCAATTTCTATGGAACGGATTATCATCGTCATGCGGGGCACCACTTTATTAGAAATGCAACAATACAGCTCTCCTTAATTTTAGAAGTAATTCCTTGATAAGTGTCTCTTCTCAGTGGTGACAGCTACAGATAAATGAGATTGACTAAATTGTGCAACCTATGAGGAATTTGCAGGGGAAGTATACCTGAGGGTTTCTGGGATGTGCAAGATTGGTCCTATCCCTATAGCCTAGGAGGGGCAACTTTGGTCAGACTGGGGGCCACATTTGCCTCCTGCCAGGACTTGCTGTAATCTCTTCCCCAAGAAAAAAGTGGGATTTACACCCTCATTTTGCTAAAACAGGAAATGACTGGAAGGTCGCTTAAAACAAAACCAAAAAAACTTCTATTTTTCAATAAATAAAACATAGCAGTCTTACTTGCTTTACAGAAGAATTGTGTTTCCTGTTTTTGTGCATAATTTTTTTCGATGGCAGTGAGGGAGTGTTGGACGCTCAGTCAGAGGGAGGGAAATCAAGCAAAGGAGCATGTAATTAATGGACAATTGTCGCCCACCCCTGTTATATACATCCCATGATTTCATCAACTTTGTAGTCTATTCTCTCATTACCATAAACTTTGTTGACAATATCATAAGGAAAAGTAATGCAAATATCACCTTCTCCATCCTCCCTAGGTGCCAGAGAAGGGTATTGCTAAAGGTACAAAACAGATTTACATATTCCGTGTTTCTTCCTTTTGGCAGCACTTCAGGGAGATAGGGTGGAAATATCACATAATCTACTAGTAACTGACAAGCAGTTGTCAGACTGATAATGGTTGACATTTTGCCTACCTATTCTTGTGACTTTCTACATTATAGACCCTCTAGATCCCTGGAAGAATGAGCCTGCCATTAGTTCATTCTGCTCAGTGTTCATTTTTAATATAGTGTGCACCTTAATATTGTTCCAAATACAGCGGTGTGCCGCACCACGACGATAATCCATTCCCCTGAAGTCATTGTTAAGCGAAAACATCATCCAGCGAAAACAGTTTCCCCATTGGAATGCATTGAAACCCATTTTATGCGTTCCAATGGGGAAATTACCTCGTCGTCCAGCGAAGAATGCCCATAGGGGAAGCCATTTTCCTAGCGCCAATCAGATGTTAAAATAGCTTCCCTGCGAAGCATGGGTCCAGAAAACACAAGGCAGACATTTTGCGGAGCCAGAAAACATCATCATCTTGCGAACAAATGGATCACGAAGCATGGACCTAATCATCGTCAAACGAAAATCCCCCACAGGAAACATTGTTTTGCGATCACTATAGCGGTCGCAAAAAAGTCAGTGTCCTGTGGATTCGTCATACAGCGGGTTCATCGTCTAGCAAGGTTCCACTGTACCTGTTTGCATCCTTACAATGAATAAATGGTTTTTGAGACAGCTTTTTTGTTTGTGCCTGCATGCATACAAATCTAGGTCAGAATCTGTGGAAGGGTTTGTATCTCCAAGTCGTTGTGGGAGTCGCAATGGTGAAAAGGACTGGGAAAATGCATCAACCACCTCTTCAGTGGCTTCTGCTACAGAGTATACAGGTCAGTAGTGAGAATGTTCTTTGAATGGAACTGCTTGAAAATGATCATTCCTTTAACTAGGTGGTGCAAACCCTCTAACCCTTCCCATGTACCACTCTGGACATATTTGGAAGACGCCCACCCCTTCCCTGCCAACCTCTATCAACCCTTGGCCTGGGGGGGGGAGAATTGCACCATACTACAGTGTGCCTGGCCAGTACTTCCACTAGGAGGCGCTGTCCATGCTTCCCTGTTCAGATGAAGAATCTTCCACTTCCCAGGGTCCCTCATTCACAATTGACTCATGCCTTTTAGAGGGAAGATCGGAAAGGTTCCTTGATTTCCCCCCTGAATGTTATGGTAACTACTTTCCATTTAGTTAATACATGTGCAGCGATTTATTCCCTTCTTGAGCATTCACAAGGGGAATGCGTCCCTACATTTTATTCACACTTGTTGGGCCTCTGATGACTAACTTTTCACTTCACAAGCCTGAAGCCTTTCAGACTTGCACTTAAAACAATGATTTGGGGGACTTTTGATTTGTCCATGACAGTCCTTGGGCTGCCCTTGGAAAAGTTAATGTTTTGGACTGCAGCTCCTAGAACCCCTGTCAGTTCCTTTCCAAAAAATACTTTCTGAAGATCTATTGTATATTGGGGCATCTGCATCAAGGCTCTATGGGAGAAATCTTAAAAATACTTAGTTGGAAACAAGTTCCACGGAGCTTAAATGGAGTAAGCAAAATTGGAAATGCAGTGTCAGAGAGACATGTCACAGTTCAATTTTCCTACTGAAGCAGAAAGATTGTCTAGCAAAAGGAGGACAAAAACAGCAACAAATATGAAAACACTGGCCAATGATATTTTTTTAAAACTGCAATATTCTTCATCGTAAGGATATTTAGAGTGAAATAAAGCACATGAAAGGCAAAAAAAAGCCCAAGTAGCCTCCTTTTTAGCACTTCTTTGAATAGTGTCATATGATAATGCTGACAGATTTAGCAACACAAATCCTACTATGTCCATTGCATTTTATAATTTTTTTTTCAAAAATGGGGGAAAATTCATAGTGTTTAGACTTGCTTCACTAAACCTTGTTGATCTTATCTGTCTAGGACCAAAGCTTTTTAAAGAACCCAGTGCAAAATCCAACAAGCACATCATCCAGAATGCCCTAGCTCATTGTTGCTTGGCTGGAAAAGTGAATGAAGGTCAGAAGAATAAAATATTAGAGGTAAGGTTAACTTGTGAATGGAGAGACAGGGAAACTTAAAGTCTAAACTTGAGGCACTGACATTTGATATAGAAGAGTAGATGGAGCAGGTTCCGTGTTTTTTTCAAACATATTCTACAGTGGAAGGATTGCCGTGAGAGAAAAAGAAACATTTCCAGATAGATGACCTTATGACTAAGTCTTTTTCAGCAGAAACCAGAAAGAGCTTTGTGGCATTGGAAAGACTAACAAGCCCACTGAGTCTGAAGAAGTGGGCTACGGTCCACATCATCATCATGTGTTGTCAAATCAATTCTGATTTATGCTGAACCTTTTCAGAGTTTTCTAGGTAGAGAGTACTCAGACATGATCCATCATTCCCTTCTTCTGGAGGCACCCTGGAACTGTGCAGCTTCCCCAAGGCCACAAGGCCGGCTGTATTCACAGGAGGCACAGTTGGAAATCAAACTCCCAACTTCTGGGAGCTCCACAGCCAGATGCCTATCCCATTGAGCTATCCAGCCAGCTAAAGTCCCCAAAATAGAATAAATATGGATAAGGTGCCACAGGACTCCTTGTTGTTTTTGCATGAGGTCCTGCACAACTCCCACCTTGGCAGACTGAAAAGGAGAGGATGACACTGAGGCCTGTGGGATATTGTCATCTTTGCTCTTTATCTCATCTGTAAAGAGAGTCTTGTGTGGCAAACCTATGCTTTGTCTCCCACATCTCTAAAATAAAAACAGGTGATTCCGTTTGTCAGGGTAAGGAACTTTGGCAAAGGGAACATTTGTTCCCATTTTAAGATTAGGTTCCACAAGCCGTGTTAAATTACAGAAGGAGAAAAAAAACTTTTTTAAAAATTTGTGTTGAAATCTCCTTCCAGCCTATCAAGATACTGTACATTAATCTACATATATTCTTGGGAGCAGCTACAGAGTAAGCACAAGTGTTGCTGGATCAGGCCAGCAACCTATCTGGACCATCATCCTGTTTCCCCTAATGGCTAACCGGAGACTTCTAGGGGCAGACAAGAATGTGAATGCAATGGCATTCTTACCCTTGCCAAGTGTTAACAATACTGTTAAGAGGCAGTAGCCTATGTATCCAGAAGGATAGAATATACAGTGGTGCCTCGCATTACGACGTTAATTCGTTCCAGCGAAATCGCTGTAGAACGAAAACGTAATGCGAAAATAAAAAATCCATTGAAACGCATTAAAACCCATTTAATGCGTTCCAATGGGCTAAAAACTCACCGTACAGCGAAGATCCTCCATAGGGCGGCCATTTTTGGTGGCTGACTTGCGAGAAATCCGTCCCAGAAAACAGCGGGGAGTCATTTTATTTACCCGGCAGCCATTTTGAAACCGCCAATCAGCTGTAGGAAAATCGTCATTTTGCGAAGAATCGGTTCCCGAAGCAGGGAACCGATCATCGCAAAGAAAAAAAAGCCCATTCAGACCATTGTTTTGCGATCGCAAAAGTGATTGCAAAAACATCGTTGTAATGCAGTTTCGTCGTAATGCGGGGCAATCGTAAAGTAGGGCACGACTGTACAAGGGCACAGATTACACATCTTGTAATTCAGTATTACAGGAAACTCTGCAGCATGAACAAATCTACATAATTCAAAACAAGAAAATTTCTCCAAAAAAGGCTTGGTATAATTGGTTAAAAGGTGCAGGTAAATTAATACCATTGTGGTAAGTGTGCCGTTCCACCTAAATTATATCCCCTGCTCTCCTGGTCACAAAATGCATTTGTTCTGATAATAGTGAACAATGCACTAGTTGCATGTTAATTTTATACTTTACAAAACTCCAGTTAATTTACTAAGAAGAGACAAAAATGGCCACCCATCCCAAAAATTATCTTCTAAAAAGAATGAATTAAAATAACATGAAATGTCAACCATTACTCAATCAATTATTGTTGCTCATGTTTAGCTATTTAAATAAAGACCGTTTAAAATTGTTTCTTCAAGAATTTAAGAAATTAGGAGTGATTTTTAAACAAATTATTTCAAAGTTTGGCATATCCTGGTTATATAGATTTTTCAAGAGACTGAAGTAAAAACATCTGGTGCACCAGGAATAGATCTAATTCTTAAAATTACCACTTGTATTCTTTAAGACTTATCCACATATGCATATATATATTTCCTCTATAGCTGATTGTTCAGCAATAAATAATGTATAATTTTGCTCCATTTTAAAGGCAAACCATTGCATTGAATCCAGTAGTCATGTATATGCTGAAATCTCAGGGACTTAAGGTAGTGATGGCTGATTTTTCCCCTCAATATCAGTGAGACTTCCCTAAGCATAACTAATTTGGATCTGATTGATAATCTTTGAAAGGATGGGGGAATTATATATGTGATATTAGGTCCATGTTGCTCCATTTATATATGCAGACAAACGGTTAAGGCTACAAACATCAAGCGGTGACCATGAATGTGTGAACCTCCTTCATATTTTTCAAGCACATAAAACAAGGTTGTGTCATAAGAATTTTAGTAAGGCAGTTTTTAATTGAAAGATTCCCTACATGAATTTTAGCTTTCCCATGACATGAATTCATTCTTTCTTCTTTCTTTCTTTCTTCTTCCCTGTCGGCCCTCCCAAGGAAATGGAGAAATCAGATGCCAACAATTTCCTCATTCTCTTCCGGGACTCAGGCTGCCAGTTCCGATCGTTGTATACGTACTGCCCTGAAACTGAGGAAATCAGTAAGTTGACAGGAATAGGCCCCAAGTCCATCAGCAAGAAAATGATTGAAGGGCTTTATAAGTACAATTCTGACAGGAAGCAGTTCAGCCACATACCCGCGAAAACGCTCTCCGCCAGTGTCGATGCAATCACCATTCATAGCCATTTGTGGCAGAGCAAGAGACCAATGACACCGAAAAAACTCTTACCCACAAAGGCATAGTACCTTGCGGTAGGAGGTGGGGAGCCTTGCCGAAGACCTTTGTGGCAAACGTGCACTTTTTATTTGCTGCCTATCCGAAAATAGGTTCCTATTTGCCAACAAGACTTCTTTGACCTTCAGTCTTCAAGAACAAGCTCTGTTGTCATGCACAACTGGAATGTACACACAGTATTGGAGACTTGTGGAAAACTCACACTTAGGTGATCATGCATTCATCTTCTCATGCAAGATGAGTGACAGGTGTAAATGGGTATGTGCTTACACACATATAGGAGTTTATTTCTTCTCCGTTCTAAAACACTGAATATTGAATGTTTGCAATTCTGTAGTGACTGAAATTAAAGCTTTTTTTTAACGTTTATTGCCTTATACTTTGGTTTGTTATGGTTGCTTTGAAATTTGCTTGTGCTCTTTATAACTTTACTGGAGAAATGTGTGGTCTTTATTTTCCATACTGTTAAATTCTTAGTGCCCTACGTATAGGAAAGGGTACAAGTTTTTATGCAAAGAAATGAGAGTTTGTTCCTTCTTTTCCAGCTCTCATTCACTTCAAGAGAAAGTTCAGGAAAGCTGCTGGTTCAGAATACCCAGAATTAAATGTTGCTAGCATGTCTTAAATTCTGACATGACATGTCTGTCATTTCTTGTTCTACAAGAAAGCTTATTGTTTAAAGGGGGTATAATTACATTTAAAAATCTGCCATGGTCCTGATCCATGGAAGGATAAAGTAGGATCTCCATATTAACTGGTGGGTCCCCACCCCATTTGTTTCTTTTTGCCAGGGGTCCTCCCTGTAGTCCTCCCCAAACTGCTATTTAAAAAGTGTGCTGAGTAGCTAATAGTATGGGGATGCTATTATGATATGAAAATACACACAAGCAAAACAACATCACTGATCCCCATACATATAAAAGAGAAGATCAGATCAGGACTTACACGTTGCTTCCATTTCAGAATCCTGAATAAAACATTATTAACTCTGCTAAAGCTATACAATTCACATGAGTCCTTCTAATACAATTTATCTAGGTATATGTATTACCGTATATAAATTTTATTTGGATATTTCATCAGGATGCTAACCCAGCATTTGGACCAAAGTAGATTTTTTTTCTTGACACTTAAAAGAATGGATGTATTTTTATTTTAACAAAAAAACTGTATTAATTAGCATACATAACGTTTTGAGTGTGCTGAAACCATGAATGGCATGCATCTACAAGATTATAGCAACACAAGTTAATTGAAATAATTAGAGTATATTCTCAGTATTTAAAAAGGGCTGCACATTTGATTAGGTTAGAAAAGCCATTTCTGTTTAGCTCTGCATTGTTTTTTAAGGATTCTATTCAATAGAATCATTGTGGCTACTGAAAAGTTTCAGCAGATGAAGATGTTCAAACTTGAAACCTTTCCTTATTTTTCTGGTTGCTTTTTTTGACATTTGTGCACCAGAAGATTTAGTTAGGGGTGGGAGGGAAATTGGTAGAACCTCATTCTCAGGAAAAGACTTGAATAACTGATAAATGTGTTCCGTTTCAGTGTTGTAAAAAGTGTTGGAACTTAAAGACGGTGTTGAAATACCTGTCTCAAGTGTATACTTTATTATGTACCCCACACAGGAGAAAGTTAAGCAAAAAAGAACAAAAGACAACTCCGTGCACTTCTCCCGTTGAACTGCTTGATTTGGAGAAGTAGTATTTCACTACAGTGTGCTTGTGTTCTTTATATAGAAGATGTACAGGAATGGGAAGTCCTTAAATAATTTAGAGAACAGTACTTTTTTAAATTATTAAAAGGCCTTAGGCATCAATGCATCTGGATTGTTTATCAACACTTTCTCAGAAATGCATTCAATATTTTACTGTAACTTATGTTCTTATATTTATGTATATTTGTTAAAACTGTAAAAAAAATCTGTTTACTAGAGGTACGTAGCTCAAACCTATTTGTGGCTAGCTGATTCCTACTGTTTGCATGTACATGGACCAGGCTATCTAAACCACCTTCTATTCTAGGCTTCTCCTCCTGTGAATGATATAGGGAACATTTATGGCACACCCATGTAAACATACATGTAAGATTTGAAAAAGAAAACCTGGCTCAAATGCATCTGTAGCTGGTGGAAAGGTGCTAGGACATAAATTGAATAGACAAAAGCAGAAATCACATGAAAGGATGTATAATTAAACTATTCTTGCTAAAAGAGAAATGTAATTTTAAAATGTGTACCATCTACTGATTCATGTATGCCTGTCTACGCAGGGTGTGTTCTGAAATGCCACAACAGAGGATGTTGTTTTAAATTATTGAATGTATTGTGATTTTTGCCTACAGTTCAGAAAAAGGCGTCTGTGCAATGTCTAAAGGTAGAATGTGAAGAATGCAGTTACAGATTAAGACACATGGGCTTGGAATTTTACTGCATACTAGGAAAACAAGGACAAGGGATTTTTTTTCTTTTATGCTTTCAATTTTTCTAATGACAGTACATCTTCGTTTGGGATCTTGTTTAGGAGAAAGACAAGCCTTTTGTGAAGAAGCCTGGTGTTTCTCAGTGACATTATCGGAACACACTGGTGGTTTCATCAGAGCTGTGTTGTTTTTATTGTTTATATTGCAAAATTTGCCAAACATCCTAATTTTCCAGGCCAGGTATTCAAACTCTGACAGTCATTGTGGCTACTGAAACCATTTTTGGATGACTGTTAGTTTTAAATTCTTTGGCTGTTTAAAGCCAAATGCTGTTTGTTTATTATTTTATGGGCACCGTCCATTGAGAAATGTACAGTGTCTTGTGTGCTTACATGTCCACTTTTGTGGAGTATTGCTACCTTGTTTTTTTCCCTCCAGAGGCTGTGCTGTACAATAATTGTCCTATAGCTGCTTACCTAGTACAGTGTAGTTCTTCCCTTCCATCTAAATAAAAAAGCATGGCACCAAACAGTGTTGTTATTTATCATTGGTACATATTTTCTATAAAGTCTCTGCAGCCATTTCGTATACCAGTTGAGCAACCAGATCTCCTGGTGTGCTAGTTTGTGAGGCATTGTACGGGTCTCACCTTCCTCCACCCAAAGTGTCTTGTGGCACCCTTAAGCAGGAACTACACATTTGCAGATAACTCACTGATTTTTTTATTTTTATTTTTTATTTTTTATTTATTGTATTAAAAAAGGACATGGCACAGCTGCTAGCCCACCAGTGCTGGGTAGTTTCCCAGCTACTAACAGCACTGGGGTAGGGGCAGCAGCTAAGAATCCTTGCCCATTCAGCATGTGGAGAAAATGGAGCTGCTGAAGATGCCCACCTTCTGGCCAGTGCCAAGGTAGCTGGGGAGCCTCCAAGCACTGGCCCGCTGGTGGCGCTGTTCTTGTTCAGGGCAGAAGGGGGACACCTTCAGTGTCTCTGTTTTTTGCTGCATGTTAGGAGAATGAGGACTCTTAGCTACTATGGGGTCACTGATGATTTTGATGCCTGGGAGGCTTCTGAGCACTGGCTGGCTGGTAGTTGAAACTACACTGTGGTTTTTAAAAATATGAAGTACCACAATTTTAAAACTGCAGTAGGGCTTCATTGTATGCAGCAACAGAAGTCCCTGCAAATTCAATGTGGATTTAAGACAATGTATAGTTACTGCCAAGGTCTGCTAGCAGGGAACTGGAGAGCAGGGGCAGACAATATCTTAACAGGTGGCCAGATTTAGCTTCAGATTTGCCACCAATGGGATACAGAGACATCTGTGTGTACTCCTGAAGGCCATTTAGTTCAGTGTTCTTGTTCTAGCAGTGACCAACTTGATGCCTCCAGTTGCTGTGTGTGTGAGAGAGAGAGATCTCACTGATGATGGAACAGCTTTCTCCATTGTACCTGAAGACAGCAATGTATCTTAGAAAATGCAAGACAGGCTGTGTGGCACTTTTTAGCAACTGCATCTCTTTCCCTAATGGTAGGCAGAGAATTTTACTTTACATGGGGATGTCACCAAACAGTATTTCTGTATAGAATTCTCTTTCTCCTTCCTAAAACATGTTGGAACACTTACTCTCATTGAGAAAAACACTCTTACATTTCTCTGTTCCCAGCTCACAATACTTGCCAATGGAGAAGGTCACAATTTAACTTCATGTCACAAAATGAGTGTTCCCCACACAGACACTAGAAATTACAAATATTTTCAGTATTACAAAAAGTTTTAAAATATATTGAAGAAAATGTCTTGATCTGCAGCACTGTGACTACATTAGCAAAGCATCTAGTGCAAGTCTGACAAAGCTCAGTAGCAAGTAGTATTTCATCATGTGTTTATTAGCCTACATCTTGATAGCAAGTCCTGGCAATACCTTTGAATGTAAACATATTTATGAATGTTCCCAGATGTGTATAATCATCCCTTCAATCAGTATGACTGGTTGTTTTGACATACCTTGAATATAACAGTACAAGAATTTGGATGAGAGATACCTTATATAAATATCATTACAAGTTTTGTAAGCAGTTACTGCTCATTTGTGAACAATGTTCAACCGAAGTAATATTGTATGAAAGATTCTTTAATTAATAAGTAGATTGAAAACAAAACAGAAGAAGCAGAAGAAGCCATGCTGGTCCATTAAAAAAAGTAGATTCCATTTTTGAGTTGTATCATTAGATTTTAGTAACAAACAAAGCAAAAATAGTAAGCTTTCAATTTCTCCAAAATTCAGCCCCCCATTTAGTGTTTTTGTTGTGTTTGGTATACCTCTAGAACTCCTGATTAGTTGTAATACTGGGTAGTAATGGTAGATGATGAACTCAAAGAATCTGGAGGGTACCAAGTTGCAGAAGGCTGTGTCAGGTTTTGTTGGATTCTGTAACCAATGGTCAATGATGATAGAGTTGCAATCATATTTTGTTTACAGGGCACAAGATTTTCCACACCTAATCTGAAGGAACTGGTCTAAATTCACACAACCTGTACGAATTTTGAAATCTTATTAGTGTAAAACTATAGCTGGCTGGACACTTCACTGAGCTGGAGCACCAAGGAACTGGGAGTTTTATCCCCCCGCCCCCCGTGCGTCTTGAGAGAAGAGCCAGGCTGTGTAGCCTTGGCCAAAAGGCTGCACAATCCCCGGGTGCACCCAGAAAAAGAGGAATCCCATTTCTGTGTATTTTAATATCTAGATAACTCTGAAAAGGGTCTCCACAAGTTAGAATTGACTTGATGGCACAAACCTGTTATTTATAAAGTGTAATAGCTGAGATGTGGAATATAATTACGGTGACGGCTGAGAGGTTAAAAACATATGGTGTAGTAAAGAGGAAATTAGTCTTCTGAAAACCCTAACTGTTCTTGGTCGATATCCTGAATTAGAATATTGGGATGTTTTAGAATAAGGGGAGTAGAGTGCACAGACCATCCATTAATAAATTACGGAGCCCAAGACTATGCAGGGATGTTTCAGGAAGAGAAAAAATGATAAATAATTTTTTTTTTACTTTTCTACTATGCAGATCCTCTGCTGCCTTGGGTCCTTTTAAGGTGAAAGGCGATGTAAAAATGTTTTAAATAAATAAATATTATATAGACTCCATTCATTCATTCATATACCACCCACTCCAGGCGGTTTACAACAAATAACAAAACAACAAAGTAACGAAATAGCAAATAAGAACATCAAAACAACAAAGTAACAAAATAGCAAAGAAGAACCTCAATACATAGGGGCAAAAATAAAAAAATCATAAAATGCACTGAGGATAAAATTACAATGCAATAAATACAATTAAAAGTGTAGAAAAATATAAAAACGTGGAGCATGGCAGTATGAGAGAAGTTATATAATTGGACACTGTTGTATCAGAGGGCAAGGAGGACTCTAGCATGGAATCCCTCTTGGAGTATACATATGTAGAAAATAAATTTAAAAAGCTGTGGGGCAGGAGAGAAAAAAATTCTTTTTCCCTTCCCCTAGTAAAATTCTCCAGTAGAGTCTAGTAGGACACCAGGATTTGTTTTATAGGCTGGATGGATCTGCAAACAAGATGCCTTTTTTGAAGGCCTGGGATTATACTGTAATATTTCATGGAAAATCCTGTTCCCTTAGCTATAAGTATAGCATTAGTTCCTGACACAGTAAATTCAATAACTTCTGAGGTTTATAGTTTTCAAAGAAGTAACCATGGTAGAAGCATATCAGACAAAGAAACAAAACAAACCCCTCCTGCCAAAAGGATACAAAATGTTGTGGCACCTTAAAGATTAAGTGTTATATTGTAAAGTGAGCTTTCATGGATCAAGTCCACATCCTCAGATATTAAAGTGCACCGATATGACTGTCATATCTATGCATGGCCCCATGACCTAGGTGGGGATCTAAATAGCTGGCAAAGTGACGGTAGTTTATTAGGAATGAAATAGGCTACTGGGGTGTAAATAATTTCAGTCATCAGTGTGCGAGGTAACCATAGCATACTTGACACAAATGACAAACTGTGGGCCCATGTATAAATACTGTATAACGATCATATTGTTTCACTTTAATATTTGAGAACGTTGACATCTTCCGTGGTCACATGGCCAGTGTGACTTAGACACGGAACGCTGTTACCTTCCCACCGAAGTGGTCCCTATTTATCTACTCGCATTTGCATGCTTTCGAACCGCTAGGTTGGCGGGAGAGTGTGCGAGGTAACCATAGCATATTTGACACAAATGGCAAACTGTGGGGTCATGTATAAATATAATGATCATATTGTTTCACTTTAATATTTGAGAACGTGGACTCCACAAAGGCTCCCATTAAAATATAACAGTTAGTCTTTAAGGTGCCACAATATTTTTGTCTCTTCTTCTTCTTCTTCTTCTTCTTCTTCTTCTTCGTTTGATATTTTGAGGTTTGGCAGGCTTATGAATCTTATCAGAACTATGACATACAATGTATTTTTTTAAAATCTCCTTACAGTTTAATATGCAGAAATTATTCTATCTCACCTTTCATTGTTTATGTGCCCTTGAAGTCTATATAAAAAGAAAGTACCCAAATTTAAATTGCTGCTCTGTATTTTAAACAGTTCCTCAGAACTAGTCAGAGCAAAGAAGCATCAGGCAAAAATACAATTTTAAAAACACTTTGCCTATGCTGTAGAATGTATAGTACAGATATTTAATCCAGTGAAAACATTTAAAGCTATTATTTCTAATTAATAATGGACTTACTCACTTTGATTTGAAGTTAGGAAGACAGCTTTGTATGGGTTCATTTTTAATTTTTAGTGAGGGTCACTATTAAAGTTTTTTTTTAAAAGGCTTTCCTGAAGCAGTGGAAAATATGAAGAAAGATTGGGATCCCAAGACTTTCAGATGATAATTATATGCTCTGGTAACTAGTCAGAACCTTGTGCTGCAAAAAACAAGGAAAATGTGATGTTGATGACATGGTACTGGAGCTCAACTGTGACAAGCAGACAGCTGTCTGAGCATGACCTGATCTGAAGATTGGGGGGGGACCCCTCAAAGGTCAGTAATGGCAGAAATAAGAAAAGGGGTGGATGAAACAACAGGTCAAAATGGAGAAAAAAATTCGCCCTCCTTCTACACACATGTGCAGAGGGATAGAGAAAAAAAGAAAGAGAGAAATACTGTATGTCTTTTGTAGTTCAGTTCTTTGAAGTGCATGGTGCCATCAAGTGATAAGTGAATGGAATGCACTCTTTTGAACTCCCATTGTGTTTTATCAGTTTTATAATGTATAGCGGTGGATACACTCACTGCAGCAAACATGGTAGAACAGAAGTGGTACACCCAACCCTATAAATGCATATTATAACGAGAAACATGAGCAGAACTCCCTGTGTGCATATGTGTGTGTTACTTTCCTCTCAGGATTATTCTGAGTTACCTTTGTGCCACATTCTTCATTCAAAGAGACCGGCCACAAGCAGTATACATGAGGTTTTATC